ACATACAAATAATAGATATTCCTTTGTATGAAATATATTACAATTTCAAAAAGTACTAGTGTGTGAATAAAAAACACATCACTTTCCTTTGTTTTCATGATGATGCCTAATTGGCAAAAAGTGTATAAGCTCTTGGGAATTAAGGAATTGCTTATATTTAAACAGTAAGATTTCATAGTGTCTTTCCAATGTTTTTTGTCATCTTAGGATTTCACGAAGTATCTGCCAGTAATATCAGAACAACTTATTTTATTAGCCAAATACTTCAGAAATCTACTCTATGCAGATTTTTCAACAATAAGAATTAAATTATTTGGCTTTATTTTTGCTTCCCTGCAAATTTCCATGTAACACATTATTAGAAACCAAGGTTTTTATTCTTGTTTTAAAGAAATAGGTATTTTTTTTTCTTCCAGGTATTGCCATAATATCAGTGTAAGAAAGCCTACCTTTATAAAACCAATCATTTGCAAAGTATGCCCTTTTCTAAAATTGCATAATACAAATATTAGTTAAGGTATTGATCATTTTCAGTTAATTTCTAACAATGATAAAAAAGAAAAACTACTTTTCTTGAATTTCAGTTATATTAAAGATAATATGGATTCTAGTTCCTAAAAATTATTATTTCTCTTTAAGCACAATGTTCTTTATTTTGAACCAATGTATTTAAAAGTAAACTGAGTTGTTCCCTTCTCCTCTGTCTCTGGAAGAGTTTGTTATAAGGTTGGTGCTATTTCATTCATAAATATTTGATAGAATTCACAGGTCAAACAATGTAGGCCTGGAGTTTTCTTAGTGGGTTTGGATGAGGAATTCAACTTCTTAATATTGTACTGTTTAGATTTTCTAGTTCTTTGTGTCAATTTTATATGTTGTGCTTCTCAAGGAACTTGTTGATTTCATAAAAATTGTTAAATATAGTGGCATAAAATCATCAGATCCTTTTAATATGTTGAGGATCTATAATGATGTCCCTTTATTCATTCCTGAGGTAATTCATATTTTCTAGGGATTTGTCAATTTTATCGATACCTTAAAATAACCTACTTACTGACTTTGTTGATTTCCTCTATTGATCTCTATTTATCTATTTCAACTTTTCTTGTTAGCACATTTTTATACTTCCTTCAGGTTTAACTTGATCATTTTCTAGTTTCTTAAGGGGAGGATTAGATATTGAGTTCACACTTTTCTCTTTTATTAAAAGCACTAAAGGTAAAAGTTTCTCTTTAAGTACTTCCTTTGGTTGCAAATTACAAAGTGTGATATGTTTTATTTTTATTACCATTCAGTTCAATTTTCCTTGAGATTTTTCCTACAGCCCATGGGTTGTTTAAAAGTATGTTTAATTTTTCAACTATTTGGGCATTTTCTAGTTGTGTAATTTGTTACTGATTTTTAATTTGATGTGTTGTGATCAGATAATATACTTTTTGTGATTTCAAGTCTTTGATGTTTATTGAGGCATTTTATGCTTCACATAAAAGAATTTTGTGTATCGTGTTCTGTGGGGTGTAGTATTTTATTCATGCCAATTAGGTCATTGGGTTGTATTGTTTAAGTCTCCCTATATTTTTTACTGATTAATTTTTTATTAGGCCATTTGACATTTTCTCACAGATCTTGGATACTCCACTCTGTTTATATTCCCACTCTTTTTTTCCTTTTTATATTTCAATCTTGAGTCTTTCTATTGATTTGAATCCAGTTTTACTCATTTTTAATTTTTACTTTAATCTGCTGTAAACACATCTGAGATTGTATTTTTCATTTCTACAATTTCCATTATTTGGTTATTCTATCTCCTGCTGAAATTTCCCAGCTCTTGGTACATGGTCCACCTTTTCCATAAAATTCTTTTTTTTTTTTAAAGAAATGGCATTTATTTTATTTATTTATTTTTTTAATATATATTTTATTTATTTATTTTTAGAGAGGGAAGGGAGCGAGAGAGAGAGAGAGAGAGAGAAACATCAATGTGTGGTTGCTGGGGGTTATGGCCTGCAACCCAGGAATGTACCCTGGCTGGGAATCGAACCTGGGACACTTTGGTTCCCAGCCCGCGCTCAATCCACTGAGCTACGCCAGCCAGGGCTCCATAAAATTCTTTACTTTTATTTTTTTTCCATTAAATCCTTTTGCATTTTTGTAATGAAGTCCCTGTCTGATAATTAAAAAATCTGGGCTTTTCTCCAGGTCTATCTTTTATGTGTTTCTCTTCTTTGATATGTATCATTTTTTTCTTTGTGTGTATCTTTTATCCTTTGATTTTATGCCAGACATTTTATATAAATGAATAGTAAAGACTGGAGCTAATATTTACCTTACAGTTGTTTTACAGATTCCTAACACCCTGTATTTTTTTTTAACTTTAATAAAAAATTGTGAGGTATGACATACAGAAACCTGCAGAAAACATAAATGAGTATATCACAGTTTACATTCCTATTGATGGATTCCTGGGTGGTTCCAGTTTGGGGCTATTATGAATAAAGCTACTTAGAACCTTCTTGTAATCTTTTTGTTGAAATGTGATTTTTACTTTCTTGGGTAAGTATCTAGGAGCTGAAGGATTTTTCAGAATATATAGCCATCCCCTCCCCCTCCCAGTGTTATTAAGGGTAATTGACATTCATTACTGTATAAGTTTAAGGTACACAGTGTAATGGTTTGACATACATATATTGTAAATTACTATAATCACTTAGTATCTATCATCTCATAGGTGAAATAAAGAGAAAAAATTTTCTTTGTGATGAGTGCTCTTACGATTTACTCTATTAACAAGTTTCCTATATGTCCTATAGTGGTTTTAGCTATAATCATCACATTGTACATCCATCATGTCCCTAGTACTTCTATCCTATTTACTACGGGGAATTTTGCCTTTTGACTACCTTCCTCCAATTTCCCCTCCACTGCTGGTAAGCACATGAGTTTGGTGTTGAATTTGTTTTTAAGTTTCCCATGGAAGTAAGATCATTTGCTTAGCATAATGCCCTCAAGGTCCATTTATGTTGTAAATGGCAGAATTTGTGCTCTCTCTCTCTCTCTCTCTTTCATGGCTGAATAATGGAATATGTAGTTTCTCAATCTGTCTTTTCACCTACCTCCCTAGCTGACTCTGTTGTGACCACATTAGAAATCAACATGTGGAAAGAAACACTACAACAGGTGGTATTCTGAGGTAGGGGGCAGGAGGGGATGAGAATGTGAGGGGAAAAGAGTAGTACAACAGAGAATGTCCCAAGGTTGCAAAACATTTATAACCATTTTCTTTTTTTGGTATGGTAACAGTGAGGGTTGAGGAGAGGGCCAGGAAGATACCCTGGATTTCCCGGAAGGTTATTCAGAGGAGCCAACAAAACAGAGAAGCTGAGGGAAGTAAGCAAGTTCTCCAGAGACTGGGGGTGAAGTGAGACTGAGCAGAACTTCCACTCCCTTAATTGTGTTTTAGTTCCAAGGGACCACTAGGTGGCAACTGTGTTCCATGATGAGTTTTCATTAGCTCTTGAGATGAATAAGGGAAGGTGAGCTGCATCAGAGTCAGGTCATGCCAGAGTTGTTTAGCATTTGTTCCCTTTGAGCCCCCTCCTTTCTCTCTTCTAATAACCCCAACTTTAGATAACATAACTTAGACACAAATAGGTTCCCTGACTTCAGGCAGCCTGAACTCCAGAAGCTATGAGTCTTCTTTAGTAAAAAGGAGAAGGGATGTGCCCTGGCTGGGTGGTTCAGTTGGTTGGAGCTAGCCCACCTACACCAAAAGGTTGCTGGTTTGATCCTCAGTTGGGAGGTTGGGGCATGTTCTGGAAGTAACCGATCAATCTGTCTCTCTTTCTTTCCACCCCTTCCTCTCTCTCTAAATTTAATTTACCCTACAGATAAACCCATATGTACTTAAAGGGATGTGTTTGCAGTTATTCATAGCAACATTGTTGGTAACAGCAAAAGATTAGAAACAATTTACAATGGATATTAGCCAAAAGGCCAGAGAAGTGATTAGACACAATTTAACTGTTTATTAATATGTGACTGGTTAAGCCCTGCTGGTATAGCTCAGTAGACTGAGTGTGGGCTGTGATTCAAAGGGTCATTGGTTTGCTTTCCAGACAGGGCACATGCCTGGGTTGTGGGCCAGGTATCTGGTAGGGGGCACATGAGAGGCAACCACACATTGATATTTCTCTCCCTCTCTTTCTCCTTCCCTTCTTCTCTCTCTAAAAATAAATAAATAAAATCTTTAAAATTTTTTAAAAAAATATGTGACTGGTTAAGCAAATTTTGTCACATGAATGGAATACAATGCAAGTATTAAAAAGAACAAGGAAACTCTTTATGTACTGATGTGATACGATCATTGTGTCTCATTGCTTTGAATTTATTCATGTCTAGCTGAAAAGATGACCGAAGAAAGTATTGTTTTAGGTGTATGAATTTTCACAAATTTTGGCAAGGAAGGAAAGGGCAAATATTGAGTAAAAAGCTTGGAGTCTCTGCCAAATCCTACCCCTTTGTCTATTCACCATTCTTGGATACTCTTCTCTGCAAATAGAAGTAGTTCCATCCTTCCCCAGGGTGACAGCCTGAAGTTTTATTTTGAAGTTTTAGACTCATTCAGGTCTGCAAGTGTTTCTTTGTGGTAAATGCTCCATAAACTTACAAGAATCCTCAACTTCCAGACTCCAAATATACGATGGAGCAATAGTGATGAAGTGTCCTCAATGGAAACTTCCAACAGAGCACAGAAAAGTGAAGAGGATGTAGCAGGCACAACCGTACTGCAATTAACCAAGGCCAGTGGACAGGAAAGTAAGAACTCCCTGCCCTGACAGTGGAAGAGGTTTCTTAGCTGCTTTGGAAGTAGTTGCCCTCTATCTAGAGGTTGTACACCACCCTTTATGGCTGCTGGCTCTACGCTGTTGGATTTCTTGTTTTTGTTTTTTTTTAAAATCACAGTTTTAAAAGTTTTTTAAAGTTTAAATTTATTGGGGTAATGTTGGTTAATAGAATCATATAAATTTCAAGTGTATATTTCTGTGATACAAGATCTGTATATTGCACTGTGTGCCCAGCACCCAAAGTCAAACCATCTCCCATCACCATTTATTAGGTCCTGTTCACCCCAACCATCCCTATTGTATTTCTTGTTTCTTATTTTCTGAGGCCATACCTTAGAAGGACATTGGAGGGTATACATTTCTTGGGTAGTATAATGCATTTCTAGCCCTGACCGGGTAACTCAGTTGAAGCATTGTCCCATACATCAAAAGGTTGCAAGTTGATCCATGGTCAGGGCACATACCTAGGTTGTGGGTTTCATCTCTGGTCGGGGTGCAATGTTTCTGTCTCACATAAATGTTTCTCTCTCTCTTCCTCCCTCTCTACAATCAATTAACATATCCTCAGGTGATGATTTAAAAAAAAAAGCATTTCTAGGAGTCAAGAATGCAGGTGAAATGGGTAAACTCTGTATTGGAAAAGCAAAAACCTTAGGGGTGACATGAAGGAAAAGGAAAGGCTGACTGAATAAAACAATGGATGATTGAAGGATTTTTGAAAAGTTCAATATATTACGGTAACATAGGTTAACAACCCATAAGTTTTAGGTGCACAATTCTGTAATACATCATCTGTATATTGCATTGTGTGCCCACCACTCAAAGTCTAGCCTTCTGGGCAAAGAACTTTTGGTAACAAGACTACCTAACATGTATTTTGTGGGCTTGTGTGTGTGTGTGTGTGTGTGTGTGTGTGTGTGTGTGTTTTGCCAATGAGTTAGGAAAGTATGTTATACAATGAAGGACAATTTATGAGTGATCATTTGCAGAAAGCAAGGAAAAAGGCTGAGTTATATTGTGAGTTGATTTATTTGAAAACAAAGTTGTAAGGCAACAGCCAGAGTGCTTTATTTGAAATAGAAAGTGAAACTCTAAGGTGTTTATGAAAATATAAACCACATGAAGATTTGTAAAAATTGTGGGCATGGGGCTGAGAGTTCACTGGACATGGCTCAACTCATGACATGATGGTCAGAGATAACTTTAATTGGACATCAAAGGTTCTCACTTGGCACCTGTATGATACTATGTTTATTGATTCATTAATTCAGTAACTGTTCATTGAGTGTCTGTCACATACCAGGCACTATTTTACACATAGGGGATTGGAATCCATTAGAGAACAGTACAGATCAAATCCCTGCCCTCAGATAGCTTACATTTTCATTATGTAAAGGAAATCATACCAAGTACTGTAAATAGTGATTATACGATTTCATGCCAAGGAATTCGATAGTTTGTATGAAATGCTCAATTTCTTGAAAGTCAGAGTTTATAAAAATTGACAGAAATCTAAAGTCTGAAGATTTTAATAACTACTAAAGAAATAGAACCTAATATTAAAAGCCTTCCTGTAAAGAAGACCCGAGACCCAGTGGGCTTCACTGGTGAATTTCTGTAAACATTTATAACACATATAACACCAGAGAATAGCATCAGAGGAATCACTTCCCAGCACTTTTTAGAAGGCTGTTATATGTTTGATATGAAACTTGACACAGACATTAGAAGAAAGTAGAAGAACAGATCAGTTTTACATAAACATAAAATGAGAAATTGCAAACAAAGCAAGTGATATTAATTAGAAATATGTATAATAAATCATGCCCAAATGTGGTTTATTCTGGGAAAAAGTGGGTAGCCAAACATTAAAAAATAAATGTGATTTATAATGATATAAATGAAAGGATAAATATAATCACCTTAATATATTCAGAAATACATTTCACACACTGCAATAGCTATTCGTGAGTTAAAAAGGAAGAAACTGTTTAGTTACATGGGAGTAAAAAACACTTCCATAGTCTGATTTTAAGAAAGTTTACAAAAAAGCCACAGCAAATATCTTACTAAATGGTGAAATACCAAAGTTTTCCCCATAATATACTCTCTCAGCTAAGCTTTCCAGATTCCCCATCATTCACTTCTCTTGTACTCTTTCCCACCTCTACTTACCTCAGGATATAGCCTGAGGTACTAAAACCAGACAGGACACCAATATATCCTTACGTCCATTTTCTTTCTTGCCATTCATGGGGCACCAAAGTAGGATGAGGCAGGAACTGGGAGCAGGGTAGGCAGAGTTTGAAAATGTCCCCCAGCCCCAGTCACATTGCCTGTAACTCAGCCTCTGTAGGAGGTGAAACAGATTTAGTTGTTGTGTCACTGGTCGGGGCTGAGTCCTCTATTGGGCCTGAGTCCTCTGTCAGGGCCCTCTCTAGACTGGCTGGTAGGGATTGGATTAGTCTCTCTCGGAAGTCTCGGCCCACAAAGACATAGAGCATTGGGTTGAGGCAGCTGTTGAAGTATGCCAAGGAGCTCATTGGGTATAACAAGATATTAATGACTTTGTATTTACCCTCAAACATTATCTCTCTGAACCAAACTGTTCCCAGAAGGGCATTCAGTTGAAAGGGAAACCAGCAAATGAAGAAGGAGGCCACAACAGCAGCGAGGACCCGTAAGGGACGGCTGGAATTAATCATGTCTTTCTTTCGGATTTTGGCAGCAATGAGCCCATAGCAGATAGCGACGATGGACATTGGCATAAGGAATCCAATCATAAACCGGATGATCCCTCTGGCTGTCAGCACAGTGATGGTCACCTTAATCCTATCTTCAGTGGTGTTAGCCCAGGGTGCAAAGTTGAAAGTACAGTACGTATTCCCTGAGATATCCCTTATAGTAGTCACAAAAAGGACAATTTGCAAGGTAAGGACTACTGCAAGAATCCAGGGTCCAATGATTAGTTTTGTAGCCAGACTTACAGTGCGGTGGTTCTGGGCCCAGACTGGATGCAGGACACAAATACAGCGGTCCAGAGCAATGAAGGCAATGAGGAAGACACTCCCAAACAGGTTAATGTCCACGATGATGTAAATTAACTTGCACAGGAACCAACCAAAAGGCCAATGTTCTTTCATGGCCATTGAGACCATGAGGAATGGTAGAGTGGCAATGAAAGAGAGGTCGGCTAAGGCCAAGTTCAGGTAACACAAGGTAGTGACTGTGCGTGCCATCCGGAATCCAGCTACCCAGATCACAAACCCATTGCCCAGGATGCCGAGGACAAAGGTGATCCCATGAACCACCAATGAGGTGATTTGGAGAGCAATGAACACAGGAGACTTAAAGAGATTCTCATGAGATGCATTCAGAGAGATGATGGAGGAGTTGGTTTCCATCCTGTTGTCCACACCTGAAACATTTCAGCAATGGGATTTTGTCAGCTGTGAAACCATCCTACAGCATTTCTGTTCAGACCAACATCAACATGCACTATATATAACTTCCTCACCAAATGGGATACCCACTCTACTGAACCTTGTGCTCAGTCACTATACATTTGACAAACTCTTGGCTGCTCCCCTGGGAAAAGACAGTTCTCCATATTTCCATAATTATTAATATGCATTCCACCTATTAGGCTGATTACTTAACCAAGAGGTTAGAAGGCTCCTGTCCATTGGCAGAAGACTGAGCTGAGGGTGTATAAAAAACAGAAAATTGATGGGAGGCATGTTCATCACAGTGAGGGAGGCACTAGACTCAGAGTCAGTAGGGTCCCATCATCTCCCACCCATGACTCAATGCATAGATGCCAGCTGGCTCTGCAAACTCTGCCAGCCCCGGGTTCTGGCAGGCTCCCACCCAGCTCCTGTCCCTTCCCTCTGTGAGAACCCTTGATCTGTGGTGCTGTTTGTCTCACCATACTCCTCTCACATGGCTCTTAGGGATTGCATGTGTGACTATGTTGTTAGTCTCAGAGTGTGGTTTAGGTTTATACTTAAAGAGGATCTTGAACAGGTACTGGAAATATGTTCCATCTTGTGGTGTCTGTGCTGCAGCAAGTCTGCAAAGGGGCCCCTTTTCTATACTAAACGCTCTGTTTTTTCATTGTGTCTGTTTGATATGGAGTTCTCCTCTGCTTGGGATGCAAAGAATTTCTATCCACTGTGTAGCTTTAGTGTCTGTGGCATAAAGAAACAAGATGAGTAGATAGTCAATATTTGTGTGGCTCTTATCAAAGACCATGCATTATTTTTAAGTGTGGGTCTAGTTACATATACAGAGATCCAGTGTAACCTACATACAACTCATAATGTCCATTGTTTCCAGTTTTTCATGAGAATAAATTGATATTCTGAACAATTACAAGACCTGTAGAAGTCACTAAAGAGGTAAGTGGCAGAGGGAGGACTTCAATCCAGCTTGATGTGACATCCAAGTCCTTTCTCTGCTACTCAACTGTGACAGACACTGCTGGAATCCCACCCAACACCCATTCTCTCATTCTTCTTTGCTAACCAGACCCAAGTATATGTAGTTACTCACTCTTCAGGGAAGATGTTCCCCTCCATCTTTGGAGCCAAATTCTGATTAGTCTCACTGGCAAATGGAATCTACTCTCCTTTGCAAAGGAGTATTTTAACAGTTAGTACAGGACTGAATTCTTTGTTCTGGGGGAATGTCTTGTACACTGTAGGATGTTTAGAAGCATCCCCAGCCTCCACCTGCTACATGCCATTACCAGCCTCCTTCTGTTGTCACAACCAAAAGTCTCTACAGATATTGTGAAGTGTCCCATGGGGGAAGGTACCCCACTTGAGGGTGCAATTGGATTTAGACCACAGATTTCATAGTGTAGAGTGCTGGGCTGAGGAGGTAGGCCAGTCTGCATTCTAATATCCTCACTGACACCTGTCCAGTGACAGCGATATAGCTGTGAATTTCAGTTTCCTCCTCTACAGAATGATGGGCATTTGGGGTGAAGACTGGTTCCTAGGTGAAGATTAGCTAAAGATAGACATGGAAATCTTTTAGGCTGAACTGGGTGCCTTTAACACATGGGAACTCTTGGTGCTCCCTGGGCTCTGCCCTGTGTCCTGGGATTCAGTCCTGGTTTATACATTGTGGAAACTCAAGTTCAGGTCAAGAACAATGCTTGTGATAATCATAATTACTGCTTATGAATGTGTTGTATGTGCTAAGAGCTCTTCTAACCCTCACCACAACTCTATTCTTATGGCTCTTGAGATTTGCATGAGTGAAAGCATGTGAAGCACTAAACATTCTTTGTGAAGTTTTAAATAGGGATGATGTCCATTATAATTAGTATAACCATTGTACAGATGAAGTGAGACTTACACTGGCTTTCATTACTTGTTAAAGCCCCCAGTTAGAAAGAGGTAGGGCCCAAATTTGAGCTCCACTAGATAGGTTCCACCAGAAATGTGCTCTTAACTTTCTCCTACCCAATAGTTCCTGGACAGGGGCAGGTTCTCTCTACCCACCCACTGTGCATCCTACAAGGACCTCAGAAGATATGATGAGCTTGAAAATCTCTAAATTATTGGTTGAAACATGTTGACACAACAAGGAAGGATGATTGTGCTATGGCAGGTGGGGAAAGGCCAATGAGGCAGAGTTGTGAACTTAGGGGCCTGCTCTCTCAGTCCAGGGTAGGGGAGAACCTGTGTGTCCCAGGTGGTACTTGGATGCATTACGATGCCTGCTATTTGGTGACTCTTAAAGGTGCCAATCACTGTACAATTTATCATCTCCAGTGACAACATCCTTGGTTTGGATAAGTAAAATCATTCATGACCTTGACAGAGGAAGCAACTTGCTCAGTATCACAATTACTAAGGGTGCAACTGTATTTAGACCACAGATTTCACACACAAACTTAGTAGTTCCTTGTTATTTTACTCTATTTCTTCATGATGTTCACATTTCCATGCTTTGAAGTAATTGTTTCAGTTCTGCTTTCTCCTCAAAGTTCCTAATCTCCTCTGCATTGCTGCTCTCAGCTGATGCCCATTCCTCATGAGAAAATGGTAGTAATTGTGAATGTTGTAACTTTCTGTCTCCCAAACCCTCCCATTTATCTGTACCTGTTACAGTGAATCCAGAGTGCTTGTTCCTTCCCCCTTCACATTTGCTCTGGATCCCTCTCTCCCTCACCTTCCCAAGAATTTTTCTCTTGCAGGATCACTTTTCATTCCTGCCAGAACATCCCCAAGATTTTCCTTCTACTAGATCATTCTATCACACAGACATGATCATCTCTCATCCCTTCACAAGGCAACCATCCTTGGCCCATGTTCCTTTCCAGCTTCAGCCCTGTTCTTGCAAGAAAATTCTGTTAGTGAAGGGGATTCACAGCCACAGCTAGAAGGTAGTGTCTCCACCTGTCATCTCACCTTTCTCCTAAACTCACACATACTGACTTGGGTCCTGACCATGCCATGGGCTGTGCTCCCCTGAAGGACACTGATGGTCTCCATGTCCCTGCTCCAGGGGTGCGTTTTCAGTTCTTACCCTATAGCTCAGTGATGTGGGCACATAAACCCCTTTATTTTTCTAAAAACACATCCTCTTATGCCTTCAGATGATGAAATGCACACACAATAGATTCTTGGTTGTCTCTATAGCTATGTAGTCCAACTCATCTCAGTGCAGTTTCTCTTCAAACCTAACATTACCTAAACCAAAGTCCTTTTAATTTTAATCATTCAAGTACAGTTTTCTGCCTTTTACTCCCATCTCAGCCCACCCCCCAGCCCTCCCACTTCCCTCCTGTTTCTACCCCTCAATTACCAAACTCTAAATTAATGCTTCCATCCTCCCAAATCTGCCACTCTGAATATTCTGTGTCTGTTTGGAACTTAACACTCAGTTGTTAAATTTCCAAATCTACCACACCACTGGATTCCCTTTCCATGACCATCAAATTCAGATAAATCACTCACTCTATCTACAAAGTTACTAAGTCTCTGTGTGGAATCATTTTTATCACCACCACTTTTGTCTCTGGCTCTTGTCTGGCTGCTTATTTGCACTAACCTTGCAAATAGCTTGTTCTTGCCACTGATGCTGCCCCCCACCCTGATCCATTCTCCAGACATAAGCCGAATGATGTTTTAGAAACACTAATCATCCATGAGATTATGCTCCTCAACACCTTCCAATGGCTTTCCAACTCCTAACTCAAGTTTACCAAGCCCTCCTGGTTCTGACCTGTGTGCCCCTCAGACTCACTCACATATTCGATGTCCTTTCATATACTGTGATGGATCCACACTGCATTCCTTCCATTCCTTGAATATGCCAACCTCATTCCCTTCTCAGGGCTTTTGCTTCTCTGTTCCTTCTGCCCTCTATGCTGTTCCTTTCAAGCTTTTCACATCTGGTTCTTTTGGAATATTCTTACCTCAGCTTAGGTATTATATCCTCAGAGAAGTCATACCTGACCCACAGTAGAAAGCAGCCACCCCAGGAACAGCCTATGTCACCAGGTGGTGTTTCTGCTTATTTGTTCATTCATTTGTGTTTTATTCCAAATACCCTCCACATTAGTATGTAAGCTGCAGAAGACTGTCTAGTTCTTCCAGTGCTCTGTCTCCATAGTGATGCTGACCAATAGAACCATCAATGTGAGCCTCATATGTGACTTACAATTTATAAAGTATAAGAAATTAATTTTAATAAAACATTAATTTTAATATATTTTATTCACGTCAATAAATACAGAATATCATTTGAATACATAACCCATCTAAGAATTGTCACTGAGGTATTTAGCACTCTTTTTTTGTACTGTCTTTGAATATACTAAATACATTTCTGACTACAGCACCTCTGAGGTCAGACTAGCAAGAGCTTAGTAACCATATGTGGGAAGTGGATTCTTATTGGACAGCCCCAGCTTTAGAGTCAAGCTTTGAACTTACCACCAGCTGAGATCTTGTTCTTGTGGCCAGTTCCTGGCTTCCTGTGGAGTAACTCAGGCTGGAAGGGCTTTAGCAGATGAAGGACAAGGGGAGGGGCAATGGGACTCAACCAATCAGGTAAGTCAGAGCTTCTTACAGTTTATTTGGTCAGCTTACTCTTTTTAGAACCTTAACTTCTGAATATTTCCCCTATCTCCCACCTTCTACTGGAAATGGGAGTTCCATCCTCTAAATTTCAAGGGTCATGGATTATGGGTGTCCAGGCCCTTTCTTATTATGAAATTTAGGAAAGTGAAAGAAACAATTACTGAGGTGAGAGGATTTGGAGGCAAGCAATAAAAAACAGGTCATGGTTAAACAAAAATTTGTTTCTGCACTGAAACAAAACTTCTGATACTATATGTGTGTTTTACACCAAGAAATTCTCCAATTCTCTGTGGACCTGAACTGGGTGTTCTACCATTCAGTTCAGTCTGACACTGTCTATCTGGAATGAGAGTCATATCCCACAAGGTAAAAGTCTCGGGGCTGCAAGGCTATCCCTCACTTCAGATGCCACTTGGGAGTCCCAGGTTGTCCATTGTAGTTATGACTGAACAGCTGTCCATCAGGGGTTCCCATGGCCCCCTTTTCAGGCAGGATGATTGGCTAGAATGGTTCACAGAACCCAGGAAGGAATTTACTTACGTCTTACAGTTCATTATTAAGAATACAACTCAATAGCAGCCAGATCAGAGATATGCATAGAAGAGGTATGGGGGGGTGTATGTATGCAGAGTCTTATTTTCTCACTGGGTGCCACCCCCCAGCACCTTGATGTGTTTAGCAACAGGAAGCTCATGAAATCTTACTGTTCAAGACTTTTATAAAGTGGTTCAGTAAAAAAAAAAAAAAGAGTTTTATAGAGCTTAATGTCCAGCACCCTCCCAACTCCCATTCCCAGAGGTTGGTGTGTTGAGCTAAAATTTCCAAAGGCTTTTATCACCTGGTTCCACTGAGGGTACCTAGGGACCCAACCTAACTCACCTCATTAGCATAAATTCTGGAGTGATCCAAAGGGGTCTTTATGAATAAAAAGACACTTCTAGCATTCACAAAATTTTGCAAGTGTTTAGAAGCCATTTACAAGAACCAGGGATGGAGACCAAACTATATATTTTTGTATTTGAATATTTATTTTTAGTTCATCTTTGCCAAAGAATCAGGATGTTGTGTTATGCATTAGATGACATTTTGTGAGTGATGATTTGCAGAAACCAAGAAAAAAGGCTGGCTAATATTACAGATCGATTTATTTCAAAACAAAGATATGAGTCAACAGTTAGCCAGAGTACTGTATTTGAAACAGAAAGTCAAAACTGAGGTGTTCCTAAAAATATAAACCATGTAAGGATTTGTAAATTTGGGGAATAGTACTGGGAGTTTGAGAAGCACAGCCCAATACATGATTAATTCAGAGTTCATCTTACTTAGACATTAAAGGTTTTCAGTTGACACCTGTGTGATACTATGTTTTATTGATTCATTAATTCAATAACTCCTCATTGAGTGTCACATGTCAGGCACTATTTTACACATACAGAATCAGGATCCATTCATGAACAATAAAGGCCAAACCTGGCCCTCAGATAGATTACATTGTTATTATGTAAAGGTAACTGTGTCAAGTACTGTATATACTGTATGTGGTTATCATGCTGTTTCATGACAATGAATTTGAAAGTTTGGATAAAATAGCTAAATTCTTTGGAAGTCATTGGTTACCAAAACCGACAGAAGAGGAAATAGAAAATCAGAGTAGTCTGATAATTATTAAAGAAATTGAACCTGTTTAGAAGTTTTCTCATAAAGCCCAAGACCCAACTGGCTTCACTGGTGAATTTCTCTAAACTTTTATGAAAGATACAACACCAGAGAATAGAATTGGAGAACTTGCTTCCCACCTCTTTTTACACCTTTTGATGTAAAACTTGACACAGATAGTAAAGAAAAAGAACAAACCCATATATATATATATGGATATATATCTATATATCTATATATATCTATATCTATCTATCTATCTATCTATCTATCTATCTATCTATATATATATGGAAGTTCCAAATATATATGGAAGTTCCAAACCAATCTAGTGAGATTAGTTAGAAATATATAAAATACATCAGGAGCAAGTGTGGTTTATTCTAGGAATACAGGGTAGTTTAATGTTCAAAAAGGATTATAGTTTATGATGATATAAGTAAAACACTAAAAATAATATGATCCTCTTAGTATGTGCAGAACATGCACATGATACAACCCAATAGTTATTCATGATTAAGAAGAAAACTGTTAGTAAATTAGGAATAGGAAACTTCTGTGGTCATATAAAAACAGCTAAAAGCAATCTATAGCAAACATCTTACTTCATGGTGAAATACCAGCATTTTCCTCTTAACATATTTTTCTCATCTAAGCTTTAAGATTCCTCATCACTCTTTCTCTTCTCTTTCCTTGTACTCCCTCCCATCTCCGCTTATCCCAGGGTACATGGACTGAGGTGCCAAAACCAAAAATGACATCAGTAGTACCCTGAGGTCCATTTTTTCCTTCGAAATCAGGGGCACCCAAGTATTCTTTATGATGAGGGCTTCATTGTGGAGAATAAACTACTCACTAATGGGACCACTGCCAGATTGTGTAGCTAGATCCAGCTAGATTCAGGCTAGATCAGAGATTGCTTCCCATAAATCTTCTCAGAGACTTGCCCTGCACCAGCCCTTTGCTCCAGGCATTGCTGCTTCCTGGACTGGGCCATGACCATGCCTGGGTAAGTAGAAGGCAGTGTCTCCTTACTGAGGTGGGTCATTCCCATTCATCCTGCCCTGTCCTATAAACTCCTTAATGCCTTCCATGTGGCACGGGAGATACCTATGTTATCTTGCTGCTGCCGAATCTGAGCCTTGTGTGTATGTTCCCTTAATAAACTCTGAATGTAATGATGGAGCCCTCAGCCTCTTTTGATGGTCTCCTGGCCAGAGAAAATTTACATAACACTCAGTATGACCCAAGGTAAGATGAAGCTGGAAACAAGAGCAGGGTAGAAGCTGGCAGAGTGCAATAATGCACCCAATCACCTGCCATCTCCTACAAATTGGCCTCTGTAGGAAGTGAAACAGATTTGGTTGTTGTGTCACTGGTCGGGGCTGAGTCCTTTGTTAGGGCCCTGACCAGGCTGGCTGGCAGGGAGTGGATCACTCTCTTTTGAAAGTCCTTGCCCTGGAAGACATAGAGTGTTGGGTTGATGCTGCTGTTGAAGAACGCTAGGAGACCTGTTAGGACTCTTAGATAAAGAAGGATTTTGTACTTCCCTTCAAACAGTATCTCTTTGGTCCAGACTGCAGACAGAAGAAGACACAGTTGACAGGGGAACCAGCAAATGAAGAAGGTGGCCACAACAGCACTGAGGACCCAGAAGGGACGGCTGGAACTAGTCATGCCTTTTTTGCAGATTTTCACAGCAACGAGACTGTAGCAGATAGCAATGATGGACATTGGAAATGTGAAGCCAACGACAAAGCGGCTGATCCCTATGGTTTTCACCAAGGTGAACAACCTGTGCATCTTCTCTTCTTCAGTGATGTTCCCCCAGATTTCAAGGTTAAAACTGCAGTATACATTATTTTCTTCATCCTTTTGTGTAGTAAAGAGGATGAAAGCTGGCAAATTAAGGACTGCTGCAAGAATCCAAGGTACAATAATCACTTTCATAGCCAGACTTACAGTGCGGTGGTTCTGGGCCCAAACTGGACACAAGACGCAAATACAGCGGTCCAGAGCAATGAAGGCAGTGAAGAACACACTTGCCAACAGGTTTGTATCCCCCAAGAAGTTAATTAACTTGCACATGAGCCAGCCAAAAGGCCATTGCCCTTCCCTGGCACTTACAACCATGAAGAATGGCAGAGTGCCAGCGAAGAGGAAGTCGGCTAAGGCCAGGTTGAGACAGCACAAGGTGGTGACTGTGATTGCCATCCGGAATCCAGCCACCCAGATCACAAGCCCATTGCCCAGGATGCTGAGGACACAGATGATTCCTTGCGCCACCATTGTGAAGATATACAGAGCCATGTAGTCAATTGCAATCTTGTCCACACCTGAAACATTTCAGCAATAGGAATTTGTCAGCTGTGAAGCCATCCTACAGCATTTCTGTTCAGATCAACATCAACGTGCACTAAATATAGCTTCCTTGCCAAATGGGATACCCACTCTATTGAACCTTGTGCTCAGTCACTATACATTTGACAAACTCTTGGCTGCTCCCCTGGGAAAAGACAGTTCTCCATATTTCCATAATTATTAATATTCATTCCACCTATTAGGCTGATTACTTAACCAAGAGGGCTAGAAGGCTCCCATCCATCGGCAGAAGACTGAGCTGAGGGTGTATAAAAAACCAGAAAATTGGTGGGAGGCGTGTTTAGCACAGTGAGGGAGGCACTAGACTCAGAGTCAGTAGGGTCCCATCATCTTCCACTCATGACTCAATGCATAGATGCCAGCTGGCTCTGCAAAGTCTGCCAGCCCCAGGTTCTGGCAGGCTCCCACCCAGCTCCTGTCCCTTCCCTCTGTGAGAACCCTTGATCTGTGGTGCTGTTTGTCTCACCATGCTCCTCTCACATGGCTCTTAGGGATTGCATGTGTGACTATGTTGTTAGTCTCAGAGTGTGGTTTAGGTTTATACTTAAAGAGGATCTTGAACAGGTACTGGAAATATGTTCCATCTTGTGGTGTCTGTGCTGCAGCAAGTCTGCAAAGGGGCCCCTTTTCTATACTAAACGCTCTGTTTTTTCATTGTGTCTGTTTGATATGGAGCTCTCCTCTGTTTGGGATGCAAAGAATTTCTATCCACTGTGTAGCTTTAGTGTCTGTGGCATAAAGAAACAAGATGAGTAGATAGTCAATATTTGTGTGGCTCTTATCAAAGACCATGCATTATTTTTAAGTGTGGGCCTAGTTACATATACAGAGATCCAGTGTAACCTACATACAACACATAATGTCCATTGTTTCCAGTTTTTCATGAGAATAAATTGATATTCTGAACAATTACAAGACCTGCAGAAGTCACTAAAGAGGTAAGTGGCAGAGGGAGGACTTCAATCCAGCTTGATGTGACATCCAAGTCCTTTCTCTGCTACTCAACTGTGACAGACACTGCTGGAATCCCACCCAACATCCATTCTCTCATTCTTCTTTGCTAACCAAACCCAAGTATATGTAGTTACTCACTCTTCAGGGAAGATGTTCCCCTCCATCTTTGGAGCCAAATTCTGATTAGTCTCACTGGCAAATAGAATCTACTCTCCTTTGCAAAGGAGTATTTTAACAGTTGGTACAGGACTGAATTCTTTGTTCTGGGGGAATGTCTTGTACACTGTAGGATGTTTAGAAGCATCCCCAGCCTCCACCTGCTACATGCCATTACCAGCCTCCTTCTGTTGTCACAACCAAAAGTCTCTACAGACATTGTGAAGTGTCCCATGGGGGAAGGTACCCCACTTGAGGGTGCAATTGGATTTAGACCACAGATTTCATAGTGTAGAGTGCTGGGCTGAGGAGGTAGGCCAGTCTGCATTCTAATATCCTCGCTGACACCTGTCCAGTGACAGCGATATAGCTGTGAATTTCAGTTTCCTCCTCTACAGAATGATGGGCATTTGGGGTGAAGACTGGTTCCTAGGTGAAGATTAGCTAAAGATAGACATGGAAATCTTTTAGGCTGAACTGGGTGCCTTTAACACATGGGAACTCTTGGTGCTCCCTGGGCTCTGCCCTGTGTCCTGGGATTCAGTCCTGGTTTATACATTGTGGAAACTCAAGTTCAGGTCAAGAACAATGCTTGTGATAATCATAATTACTGCTTATGAATGTGTTGTATGTGCTAAGAGCTCTTCTAACCCTCACCACAACTCTATTCTTATGGCTCTTGAGATTTGCATGAGTGAAAGTATGTGAAGCACTAAACATTCTTTGTGAAGTTTTAAATAGGGATGATGTCCATTATAATTAGTATAACCATTGTACAGATGAAGTGAGACTTACACTGGCTTTCACTACTTGTTAAAGCCCCCCAGTTAGAAAGAGGTAGGGGCCCAAATTTGAGCTCCACTAGATAGGTTCCACCAGAAATGTGCTCTTAACTTTCTCCTACCCAATAGTTCCTGGACAGGGGCAGGTTCTCTCTACCCACCCACTGTGCATCCTACAAGGACCTCAGAAGATATGATGAGCTTGAAAATCTCTAAATTATTGGTTGAAACATGTTGACACAACAAGGAAGGATGATTGTGCTATGGCAGGTGGGGAAAGGCCAATGAGGCAGAGTTGTGAACTTAGGGGCCTGCTCTCTCAGTCCAGGGTAGGGGAGAACCTGTGTGTCCCAGGTGGTACTTGGATGCATTACGATGCCTGCTATTTGGTGACTCTTAAAAGGTGCCAATCACTGTACAATTTATCATCTCCAGTGACAACATCCTTGGTTTGGATAAGTAAAATCATTCATGACCTTGACAGAGGAAGCAACTTGCTCAGTATCACAATTACTAAGGGTGCAACTGTATTTAGACCACAGATTTCACACACAAACTTAGTAGTTCCTTGTTATTTTACTCTATTTCTTCATGATGTTCACATTTCCATGCTTTGAAGTAATTGTTTCAGTTCTGCTTTCTCCTCAAAGTTCCTAATCTCCTCTGCATTGCTGCTCTCAGCTGATGCCCATTCCTCATGAGAAAATGGTAGTAATTGTGAATGTTGTAACTTTCTGTCTCCCAAACCCTCCCATTTATCTGTACCTGTTACAGTGAATCCAGAGTGCTTGTTCCTTCCGCCTTCACGTTTGCTCCGGATCCCTCTCTCCCTCACCTTCCCAAGAATTTTTCTCTTGCAGGATCACTTTTCATTCCTGCCAGAACATCCCCAAGATTTTCCTTCTACTAGATCATTCTATCACACAGACATGATCATCTCTCATCCCTTCACAAGGCAACCATCCTTGGCCCATGTTCCTTTCCAGCTTCAGCCCTGTTCTTGCAAGAAAATTCTGTTAGTGAAGGGGATTCACAGCCACAGCTAGAAGGTAGTGTCTCCACCTGTCATCTCACCTTTCTCCTAAACTCACACATACTGACTTGGGTCCTGACCATGCCATGGGCTGTGCTCCCCTGAAGGACACTGATGGTCTCCATGTCCCTGCTCCAGGGGTGCGTTTTCAGTTCTTACCCTATAGCTCAGTGATGTGGACCCATAAACCCCTTTATTTTTCTAAAAACCCATTTTCCTGTGTCTTTAGATGATAAAATGCACACAGAACACACCCTTGGCTATCTTTATAGCCACCTCATCTCCATCTTATTTACTTGCTTCTTCTCCCCTACTTTTAACTCTAAATGTTGGGTATTCCAGGTCATGTCCCTGCCTCTCTCTATCCTCTACTTGTTTCATAAGTAACATTATCCAGTCTCATGGCTTATAATATTCTACTGATAACTTCTGGTTTATGTAATCAGCTTCTCTTCACAGTTTTAGCCTGATATATAATCAACTGACCCTTGACATCTCTCCATAAGAGTCCCATAGGCACCCCAAACCTACTATTGCCTAACCCAAACTCTTAATTCTTCCATCCATTTATGCTATTTACTCTTAATATTCTGTTTCTATTTGGAGCCTGCACATTCAGTTGTTAAACTTCCAAATCTAACACTTATCCTTGATTTCTCTTTTCTAGGCCATCCAATCCAATCCAAGTCAATCAATTTTATCTACAAAGCAACTAAGTTGAAACCTACAATAATTTTTATCATCTTTACCATTGTTCAGAGTTCTTGTCTAGCTGTTTATTTGCACTAACCTTGCAAATAGCTTTGTTTTTGGCAATGATGCAGCACCCCCAGTCCATTCTGTAGACAAAGACAAATGATCTTTTAGAAACACTAACCACAAGTGCTGGTGAGGATGTGGAGAAAAGGGAACCTTAGTGCACTGTTGGTGGGAATCCAGATTGGTGCAACCACTGTGGAAAAAAATATGATATTTCCTTAAAAAAAAAATAGAACTGCCTTTTGACCTGGCAATTCCACTGCTAGTATTATACCCTAAGAATCCTGAAACACCAATTCAAAAGAACCTATGCACTACAATGTTCATAGTAGCATTATTTACAATAGCCAAATGCTGGAAACAACCTAAATGCCCATCAGTAAATGAGTGGATAAAAAAACTGGTACATTTACACAGTGGAATACTATACAGTGGAATACTATGCAGTGGAAAGAAAGAAGAAAGTTCTACCCTTTGCAACAGCATGGATGGAACTAGAGAGTATTATGCTAAGTGAAATAAGCCAAGAGGTGAAGAACAAATACTATATGATCTCACCTATAAGTGGAACCTAATTAACAAAACAAACAAGTGAGCAAAATAGAACCTGAGACAAGGAAATAAAAAACAACCTGACAGTTACCAGAAGGGAGGGGGAAGAAGATAATGGGGAAAAGAAGGGGAAGGGTCAAGTCAAGGAACTTGTGTAAAGGACCCATGGAGAAGGACAGTGGGAGGGGGGTGGGCAGGGCAGGGGAGAGCAATGAGGAAAAAATGGGGAGAACTGTAATTGAACAACAATAAAAAAATAAAAAGAAAACAAGAAAAACTGCTAATTATGCTATATTATTCTGCTCAGCGCTCTGCAATGGTTTCTAAACTACTAACTCAAGCTTACCAAGCCCTCCTGGATCTGCCTTGTGTACCCCTCAGACTCACACATCCACCGTCCTCTCACACACTGTGATGGATCCCCACTGAATTCCTTTCACTTCTTGAACATACCAAGCTCACACCTTCTCAGGGCTTTTGCATCCTCTGTTTCTTCTGCATTCAGTGCCCTTACTTTCAAGTTCCCCACATCTGGCTCTTTCTGAATATTCCTATCTCAGCTTAGATATTATGTCCTCAGAGGCATTCTTCCTGACCCACAGTGCAAAACAGCTAACCCTGGTACAGCCTATCTCACCACACACTGTTCTTATTTATTTTTCCATTTATGTTTTTTGTTCTAAATACCCTCCACATTTGTACATATGCTCCAACAACTATAACATTTTTTCAGTGCTTTATTCAGTGCTATATTTCTACAGTAACTCTGTCCAATAAAAACATAAATGTGAACTATAAGTACAAGCCACATATGTGACTTGCAAGTTTTTACAAAGTAAAAGAAATTAATTTTAGCCCTGGCTGGTGTAGCTCAGTGGATTGAGCTCGGACTGGGAACCAAAGTGTCCCAGGTTCGATTCCCAGCCAGGGTACATGCCTGGGTTGCAGGCCATAACCCCCAGCAACCGCACATTGATGTTTCTCTCTCTGTCTATCTCCCTCCCTTCTCCTCTAAAAATAAACAAATAAAATCTTAAAAAAAAGAAATTAATTTTAACAATACATTAATTAATTTTAATAGTATTTTATTTAACCCAACATATCAAAAAGAACATAGTTGGAACATGTAACTAATATAAGAATTATCAGTGAGCTATGTTGTATTATTTTTTGTAGTAAGTCTTAAATAACTGAATTCATTTCTGACTATGGCACCTCTCAGGTCAGACTTGCAAGAGCTCAGTAACCATATGTGGCAAGGGGATTCTTATTGGGCAGCCCAGGTCTAGAGTTCAGAAGGTATCTGCCACATAGCAAATGTTCAAATAATAATTTTTAAATTGTCAGGCTTCGAACTTACCACCAGCTCAGATCCTGTTCCTGTGACCAGTTCTTGGCTTCTAGTGGAGTAACTCAGGCTGGAGCAGCTTCAGTAGATGCTTTATTGAAGGACAAGGGGGAGGGATGGTGGGATTTGAAACAATCAAGTGACAGAAATTCAGAGCATTGCATCTTTCAATTTCCATAAAGTACTCTTGATATACTGTCAGCAAACTATTTTTAGAAACTCAATGTCTGAATATTCCCCTTACCTCCCACCTTCTGTGGGAGAGAGGAAGTTCAGTCCTCTAAATGTCTAGGGTCAAGAATGCTGGGTGTTTAGTCCCCTTTTCTTTCAGAGATTCAGAAAAATAAAACAATTACTGAGTTTAGAAGAATTAGGGGAACGCAAGAAAAAAATAGAGATGATGGTTAAACAAAAACTTGTTTTCATCTCACACAACATTTCTGACACCAAATGTGTGGGTTTGTTCTACACCAAGAAATTCTCCAATTCTCTGTGGACCTGAACAGGGTGTTCTACAATTCAACTCAGTCTGACACTGTTTATCTGCAATTACGTCCAGATCCTATGAGGTAAAGGGCTCCATGCCATAAGGCTGCTCAACTCTCACTTGAGTTGGCAATTGTAAGTACAAGGTTGCCAACTATACTTCTTACTGAGCAGCTATAAGTCAGGCACTGCCTTTACCCTGTCCTCAGATTTGATAATTTGCTAGAATGGACCATAGAAATCAGGAGGACAATTTACACGTGTTTACTGGTTTATTATAAAGTCTATAACTGAAGAACAAGCAAATGGAAGAGATACACAGGGTAAAGTATGGGGGATGTGTATGCACAGAGTTTCCATGTTCTTTCTGGGGGCACCACCCTACCAATACCTTGATGTGTTCACTAACCTAGAAGATCATCCAACCTCATTGTTCAAGAGTTTTTATAGAGCATAGTCTCTAGCCTGTCTCTTACCTCCCCTTCTCAGAAGTTGGTGTGTGAAGCTAAAACTTCCAAAGCTCTAATCACTTGGTCCCGTAAGGCTATGTAAGGGTCCACCCTAATTTACCTCATTAGCAAAAATCCTGGTGTGATCAAAATGGGCCCCTCATCAATAAAATAAGACACTTCTATCACTCAGGAAATTGCAAGGGTTTTAACCTTATTCCAAGAACTTGGGACAAAGACCAAATATGTTTCTCTTTTTACCACAGTGGAGGTGAAAGACATGGTAACCAAGAACAGAAAGAGAGGACTCTTCACCCAACACCATCATCAAGATTGATTCCCTAACCTTCTACTCCTGAAAGTGATAATCTGTGAGTCTGGGGAGATGAGCCTTTTCTGAGCTTTTAAGTACCATGAGAATATATTATAGTGTTCTTCTCAAGCCCAATAGATACAAGCATGGGGAAAAGTGGAGAAACAGAAGACAAGAGTCCAAGAGAAACAGATAGAGGGTTTTTTTTTGTTTTCCCCAAGTTACTGTACAATTGGATGTTTTTATGTATAACTTACAGCAAATCTGTGAATTGCTTAAACCATGAAAAAAATTATTTTTTAAAAATTGGAAGGAGGTAGGTTCTGAATCTGAATAAAAATTAAGTTTAATTGAATCCTTCTATTCTATTATCCTTTTGGCTTTGTTTTTGGAAATTTCTTGACCGTGACCACAAAGTGGCTGCCAATGTTTCAGACATCACATCTACATAACCTTTGAAGCCAGAAGGAAGGAACTGGGCAGAAAAATTGACTCTATTCACACACCTGTCTCATTTAATAGAGAAGGAAACTCTTTCTAGAGGCTACATAGGACCTCTTCTTACCTTTCATCGGCAGAACTGAGTGACATACCTACTTATAGGCCAATCCCTGGCAGTTATAAAAATTGGTTGACTGAATTGGCTTAGGATGAAGGCATATTGCTGCCTGAATAAAATGGAGTTCACTTATCAAGGAACAAGGGATGGTAGGTATTGTATAGGTATTGCCTTCACAGAGGTGCTCCCTTGCTGGCTTCTGGGACTAATCAGTCATGGACTTTACCCTGGAGAAGCTGACCAAGTGGATGAAGATATTAGAGAATGAAGTGCTTAGTCACAGAAAAGTGGGGGTATATGTAGTGATGCTTGGGTCATTATGGTCTACCCATAAAGGAATAGCTAACTCAGACAGACAGGGTCTAGGGTCACTTCCTGGAAGAAGTAACACCTAGGTTGAGTCTCAGAGACTTGGATAAAGAGGAGAAAGAAAATTGCATTCCAGGCATAGGGGAGTGAAAATGCACAGGAACGGGCCAAGAAATTAGTTACATTTCATTGTTGGGGCACATGGTGAGGCAGAGAACAGTAAGTGATGCGTCTAGAAGGTGACCAGGCTTATTGCTTAGTGGGTCTTGAATGCTACAAGAAGGACTTGGATCTTCTCTTTAAGAAAATGAAAAGCCATTTAAGCAGGACAGAGACTTATTGAGTGTGTGCTTCAGGGGGTAAAAAAAGTCCTAGATTCCTGCTAAGAGATGGATTTGAGAATGTTCCCACCTGGAAGCAGAGATCTTAGAGTAGAGGATATTCCAAGAGCTCAAGGTGAAGTTGTTGAAGAGTTCCCCAGGTCAGGAGTAGTGTAATGGAGAGGAGGTGTGGTTTTGGGAGAGATTGTCAGGCTTAGCTGATGGCTTTGGAGACTGGATGACTCTGGGGAATGAAGTAGGAGGGCTCTTTATGAATCCCACGTTTCTTTATTGGGGTCCCAGTTACTACTGTAACATAATAAACCACCCTAACAGAAAATTATGTAAAACAACTATGTAGGGGAACACTCGGTTCTTCCTTTTGGTGCGTTACTTCCCATATGTATTTCCTTTACTTTTACATAAAACATTTCACTCTGGGTCACCAAAGGGGTGGAGTTTTTTCCCACAATGATAAGCACATTTTCCCCACCATCTGGGTGTTCCACAAGTTAACTCATTTCTGAAGCTGGCATCACATCTCACAGGTTAAGGGCTCAGTCCCTCAAGACTGTCCACTACTCTTTCCCACACACTCTTCCTATGCCAGTCATGAGTACATGTCCCCTGTGCTTCTGACCAACCAGCTGCAGATTAGAGGTTCCAGTGACCACTGTTATCGCTTTGATTAATTTGCCAGGGTGGCTCACAGAACTTGGGGAGACACATGTATCAAATTATTACAGGATATGATAATACAGTTGAAAGTCAGCCCTGGCTGGTGTGGCTCAGTGGATTGAGCATGGGCCTGTGAACCAAAGGGTCACTAGTTCAATTCCCAGTCAGGGCACATGCCTGGGTTTCGGGCTAGATCCCCAGTAGGGAGCATATGAGTGGCAACCACACATTGATGTTTCTCTCCCTCTCTTTCTCCCTCCCTTCCTCTCTCTCTAAAAATAAATAAAATCTTTTTTAAAAGTCCACTGTATATACATACATATACATATATGTACATATAATATACACACATATATTTATTATCTCACAACAACCACTTTATTGTGTTCATGAATTATGTGGGCTGGAAATTAGAATAAGGCACAGAGGAGATGCTGTTTCTGCCCCAAAGACCCTGTGACAAATAAAAGTTTTATAAAACCCAAGTTCCAGTGTCCTTAAATAAAGTTTTCTTGGCACACGGCCATGCTCATACATACTGTCTATGGCTGTGTTCATGCTATAACAGCAGAGATGAGGGTTGTAATGGAGACCCCAGGGCCTGTAAGACATAAAGTATTTACCATCTGGCCTTTTACAGAAAACACATGCAACCGCTGGGTGGAATGACCTGACCAGCTGCAGAACTAGTCAAGGACAGACCTGGGTGTTCAGCCCAGATGATCTGGCCTCACCCTCTCAGACACCATGATTTACTGAAAGACGTGGCTGTTCACAGAGGCCATTTAAGACATCAGCTATCAGAACAGCCAGGGATTTTTGCTGCACAGGTAAGAACTTGCCCCAGATTAATCCCAATGTCATTTTTTCCCTTGTCCTTACCCAGTTTAGACAGTGGGGCCACTCCTGAATGGGAGTCCATTTGAGACCTGTCTTCTTTTCTTCACCCTAGTCATATTGCTTTTATCCATTTTTTAAAATTTCGCTTTATCAGGAGCCATTTGGTAGCAAGGAACAAAAACTGCTTATGCATCAGCAAAGAGAGCTTATGAGAAACATGCAGGGGCATGCCTCACTTCCAAGAAGAACAACCAGATTTTTATTTTATTTTTCAATTAGAGTTGATATTCAATATTATATTAGTTTCAGGTATACAGCATAGCAGCCAGACATTTATATAACTTACAAGTTGATCTCCCCGATGAATCTAGTACCCACCTGGGACCATACATAGTTATTACAATATTATCGAGTATATTCCCTGTGGTGTACTTTACATCCCTGTGACTGTAACTGCCAATCTGTAGTTCTTCATCCCTTCACCTTTTTTACCCAGCTCCCAACCCCCTCCCCTCTGGAGACCATCAGTTTGTTCTCTGTATCTATGAGTACACTTCTGGTTTGTTCATTCAATTTTTTTTTATTCCACATGTTAGTAAGATCTTATGGTATTTGTCTTTGTCAGATTCATTTCACTTTGTATAATACCCTCTAGGTCCACCCATGTTGTTGCAAGTGGTAAGATTTCATTCTTTTTTATGGGCAAGTAATATTCCATTACACATATGCACCACATCTTCTTCATCCATTCATTGATTCATAGACACTTAGGTTGCTGCCATATCTTGGCTATTGTGAATAATGCTGCAATTTTTACAGGACAGGAACTGGCCCAGAGCAGGTCTGCCTCAGGCTGGCCAGTAGTGTGTCTTGGCCTCATGTAGGAAAGATTTCACAATACAAGGCCGGGTGATTTTGAGCATATGCTTATTAAAGCTGGGGACAGTGAAACAAAGGAAGGACTCGGGGTAGAAGAAGTAACAGGAGAGAGCCTAGGCAACGCTCTGCTTTGGCTCCCTAGAAATGCGATAGGAAAGATGTGAGCCAAAGCAGGGCTGCTTTTAGCTTGCTGGGAAGTCAGAGAAAAGAGGGCCTTGGAGACAAGACCAAGGGGTTAGTCCAGGTTGAGCTGCCACTGCCCACTGCTCCCCTGGCTGCAAGTCTCATGGGGACCCTTAGAGTCTAGAAGGAAGTAAAATGTTTATGCCCAAGTAGGGGCATGGGCCTGCTCTAGAGTGAGCCCACCCTGAATCTTTGTCCTGAGGGCTTTTATCTCCTTTCTGTGGGTGAGAATCTTAGGAGAGGGTTTCAGCAGAATATTTATTAGCTTTCCAGGTATGTTTTTAATGTGTTCATGCATCAAAATGAGCCTATGGGGTGGGGTTTGGGGGAAATTCTTTGGTCTGCTATACTGTTTTACTTTGATCTTGGGTCTGTCTGGCTCTAACAGGGTTTCTGTTATTTGTTTCCCTGATTTCATCCATCCTTGGGCTTAGCTGGCACAAATGGCATTAATTGGGTCTCTGTTCTCTATTTTCCCAGGCCAGTGTGATTTAAGCTATATATTCTCTGGTTAGGGAGGAAAGGTATACGGTCTAAGCCATTTGCTTTCAACTGTCCTTGCTTAAGGGAGGCAAGGTCTTGTGATTCATTGGCTGCCTGTAAGTTGCTCAAGCTGTTTGGCCTTGTTTAGTTTTCTTGTTTCAGTGTCCCTATTCTACTTGCTTGGAAATTTTCCTAGCTTGCTACTGTCCTGTTTCACAATGAACATGGGGGTGCATACATCTTTTCAAATTAGGATCTCTTTAGGTAAATACCCAGAAGTGAAATTGCTGGGTCACAAGGTAGTTTTATTATTTTAAAATCTTTGAGGAACCTCCGTACTGTTTTTCATAGCAGCTTTGCCAATTTGCATTCCCACCAACAGTTGCACTAGGGTGCCCTTTTTTCCACATCCTCATTAACACTTGTTTATTGATTTAATGTATTTTTGCCATGTATAATGCACTCCCATGTATAATGTGCATTTATGTTTTGGGCCCAAACTTTCAGGAAAAAAACCTTTTTGTTTTAATTTTTTTAATTCAGTTATTTATTTACTTATATCTAAAAGCAAAAGGGTATCATTTTGCATATGGATATCATTATTGCTTTCTAGAGTTATACTTTTAACACATAAGCATAAATAAAAGAATTAAAAACATTTACATAGATACAGAATTAGTACTACCCATGCATCATATGCATCCTTATTTTCCCCTAAAAAATTTGGGCAAAAAAATGTGCATTATACATGGCAAAATATGGTATTGATGATAGCCATTCTGACCAGTGTGAGGTGGAACCTCATGTGGTTTTGGTTTGCATTTCCTTGATGATGAGTGATGTTGAGCATCTTTTCATAGGTCTATTCAGCCAGATTTTTACAGATACCTGGGAATCTGTCTGTCAGTTACTCTCTGTGAGGTCCCATGTCTCTTATTTTTTTTCCCCCAGCATGTAGGCCTCTCTTCTCTGTGCATTGCAGTGCCCTCTGCCTACTGTTCATTTTATTTCCCTACAACTTTGGCTTCCATTTGACTCTTTGTCACACCCACACTTGTCACCCTTCCTTCCTTTGCAGCCTTCTAAAATGTGTCTTTTATGTATAACCCCCAAGAAATTTTTGTATAATACAAATCTGAACATAGCTCACTCCTGACCAAAAATCTTCAGCGATTCCCTATTTAATTTACATTTTTCCCACTTGGGATGCTGTAGTGTGAAGTCAGGAGCTATGGCAGCTATGTTGTAACCGTAAGGTGACAATCTCCAGGAAGAAATCTATCATGTTTGGGTTAATAAAGTGAAAGGAATAAAATAAATGTGGTTTTTGATGATTATTAAATAGAACCTAACCTAGTACTACCAATCTCCAAACTTGTTGTGAAGTAAACTATAAATGTTGTCCTGGTTTAAGCCATTGTGAGGTATAATTATATATTATGAATTAGTTATAACTGAAAACATTCTAATTGATGCAAGGCCTTGGGGATAATGTGTTTAGGATGACTGCCCTTACCTCTGTCTCTGTCTTCCCATAATTCCTTGTATCACACCAATATCCATGGATAATGCAGCAAATTTGGGGATGACCACCATCTCTTTGAGCTAGAAGCCTACTAATGAGCTTCCACAGGAGCAGAGGACTGTGGTAGTGGTGAGTGGGTGGGACGTGCTCTATTTTGTCCAATTGTATCACCTTCTCTGCCTCCCATTTGGGAGCTCTCTCTGTGTTTCTGGTTCCTGTCTTTCTCATTGTCACCTCTGCCTTCCATTGCTTACCTCTGATTCTTCTCACCTCAGTACTGGCTCCTTTATTTATTTATTCTGATTCATTGAGAGAGAAAGGTTCTGGACACCCAGATCCTTTAACCCTTGATGTTGAGAGGTTTGGACTTCTGCATTCCACAGAGGATTGAGGTTGAGGAAAACAGTCAGTTACTTGAGTTTCTAAACGGACCCAGTGTGCTCCCTAAATGCTGTTAAAACAAGTGCCTTGTTGATTTATTCTTGGTGTATTGAGGCCACAGAGAAGCACAAGGAGCCCTGGTTTCCTGTTACCCAATTGTCTGCAGTTCATTCACCCCTCCTCAGTCCCTCTTGTGGATCTTCTGCTAAGACCATTAGGGACAGAGTCACTCTCCTCAGAAAGCCAGAACCTGGAACTGTCCAGATCATGGATCACGGTTTGTGTAGGGGCTGGGGAGCTCGACAAGGGCACACTCAGTAGAAGAGTGGGGACAAAGGACTCCTTGGAGTGAGTTCTAGAGAAATACAAGGTAAAGAAATGAATACAGCAGACACATATAAGTCTTCCCAGATGTTTTGCTGCAAGACAGAGCCAAGGAATTGGTTAGAAACTGAAGAAGAATGTGGAGTTGAAGGATAAATTTTTTTTAAAGATAAGAGGTTCTAGACTGTTTGGGGGTGCTGATGGGAATGATGGAATGGAGAGGAAATATTGATGCTGGAAGAGAGAGGATAAGTGAAGGAAGGAGTTTCCTGAGGAAATGAGGGGCTGGGATTCAGAGGACAAGTGGAACATAGGTCGTGGGCAGGGATACTTGTTTCCTGGCCGTGGAGGTGGAAGCTGGAACAGACAGGAGTGTGGATTTGGTGGAGTATACGGCAAGGACATCAGCTGCAAGTGGGCATGACAGAGGAGGTTCAGAGCTTTAAGGAGAAAGCAGAAAAGTCAAGATAATAGTTACTATGGGTCACGGGGAAATGAATGTAATAGGGAAGCAGTAGCCTTCCAGAGCGGTGAGGTGTCTCCATATGAAGAGACTGATCCTGGATGTTGTGTGGGACCCCTCAGCGGAACTCAGCTCTGCCCTGTCAAAATTGAAACCTTGAACTGTAGGCCAAAGCCCTGGCTGGTGTAGCTCAGTGGATTGAGCACGAGCTGCAAACCAAAGTGTCACAGGTTCGATTCCCAGCCAGGGCACATACCTGGGTTGCAGGCCACGGCCCCCAGCAACTGCACATTCATGTTTCTCTCTCTCTCTTTCTCCCTCCCCTTTCTAAAAATAAATAAATAAATCTTTAAAAAAAAAGCTGTAGGCCAGTCACTTCCCCTCTTAAAGCCCAAGTCTCTTCTGTTATTTGTTGATGGTGACATTTAGCCAATTCTGAGCTTGTTGAGCTCAGAGGCAAGAAAGGTGTGGATTTGATACAGTGCCTGCCCCCTTGAAGGGGCTCAATAAATGGCTCAAACCAGCATGATTTGTGTTGGTTGGAGATCACAGGTTTTCTCCCTTCCCCAGGCCTTGGCAGAGTCCCTTGTGCAGCTTTTCCTTTCTGGTGTGTCCCCTCCTGTCATTGCAGCATCCTCCTTATTCATTGCATCAACCTTCGTAAATGATTGCCTTGGAGACTCCTGAGAACAAACGTCCTCGGGGCATGTCTGCAGTTGCGTGCAGGTGGAAAAAAACTAATTCTTTCCCACACCGCAGAGCATCAAAGATCAAAAGAAATTTGAGCTGCATAAATACTTTTAAACTGTCTGGTAGGCACTTTGAAAAAGTAAGAAGAAACCAGTGAAGTTAGTTTTTTAAAATAGTTTATTTTTATCGTAGTTTTTCTGTTGCCATTTACTCCCCTTATACCCTCTTCTACCTCCACCCACTCCCTCCCCAAATATATAATTATTAACAGGTATTTCTCATGATTTTTTCATTCTATATCTTTGAAATATGATATATTTTATTCTTATATTTCACCTCAAATAGGACTAGCCATATTTCAAGGGCTCAAAATTCGCAGCGAGTGGCAATTATATTAAACAGCCCTGTTTTCAGAGCAGTATGGCAGGACAGGGCAGAGTGAGACCTATGCTGGTATTTGACAACCTGGGCTTTTTGGAGACTTTTTTTTTAAGACTTTAAAAAATATTTTATTTATTTATTTTGGGGGGGGGGAAGGGAGGGAGAGAAACATTACTGTGTAGTGGCCTCTCATGTGCCCCCCTACTGGGGACCTGGCCTGCAACCCAGACATGTGTGCTAGACTGGGAATTGAACGGGTGACCCTCTGATTCACAGGCCCTTGCTTAATCCACTGAGCTATGACAGCCAGGGCTTTTTGGAGACTTTAAGCAATAAAGTGCTCTAAGTCTCAGTTTCCTCATCTGTGAAATAATTGCAAAATCCTAACACTATTCAGTACATACTGTGTGTTAATCACTGGCTCTTGCTTTATGATATTAACCTGTTTCATCCTCACAATGAACAAATGTTTGAGGAAGGTTGATGCAGGGTTTGAAAAGAGGATGAGCTCTTGGCAAAAGCCTTATATGTACTGTGAGTACCTAGTCTAAATAAATCTTATACCCAGCATATATTTGGACTGTTTATTGCTATCATGTTCTTCTTTAACCCCAGGAGTACTGAGCCCACCCAATGGATGGAGAAGAGTATCCCTCCTGTCAGGGGAAGATAACCACAGAGAGAAGAGTGGAACTGAGGTCTCCTGTTCTGCCTCCTTCTAGCACAAGAATACACAAGATGTAATAATACTTGGTTATAGCCCTGACTGGTGTGGCTCAGTGGGTTGGGCGTCGTTCCACAAAACGAAAGGTCACTGGTTCAGTTCCCAATCAGCACATGCCTGCATTGCATGAGAGGTGGCAGATTGACATCTGTCTCCAGAACTTTTTCATCATCCCAAACAGAAACTCTGAACCCAACATGCAAAAATTCCCCTTGCTTCGGTCCCTGGAAACCACGAATCTGCCTTCTGTCTGTGAGTTTGCCTATTCTGGGTATTTCATCTCAGTGGAATCTTACAACATTTGACCTCTTATGTCTGGCTCCTTTCACTTTTCAAGGTTCATCCACATTGTAGCAGGTACTCCATTCCTTTTAATGGCTAAATAATATTCCATTGTATGGATAGACTGTGTTTTGTTTCTCCACTTATCCACTGATATACATTTTAGTTGTTTTGACTTCCTGGTTGTTGTGAAGAATGCTATTACAAACATCTCTGTGTGCAAGGTTTTGTTGCAGCATTGTTTTCTGTATACACCCTTTGCCCAGTATTTTCTTTTGGAGGGCAAGAACTTTATCTTCTTTAGCTAAGTAATGTGCCTGGTAGGTGGCTTCCATGTTAGCAATTGTGGAAGCAACTATGATACTGTGATTTATGATAAGGAACATATATTTGATCTTTATTCTGCCTCCTGGTACAGAGTTTCTGAAGCCCTTGAGAGTGATGAGGGAGTCTTTTGTTACATTAAGGAGGTGACTTTTGCAAAGCCCCTACCCATGGAGGCTGGTCACCAGAAGAACTAACCAACCCTGTGATTAGAGGGCTGGAACTTTCTGTCCCACCCCTGGATCTCTGGGGGGAAGTGATTGGCTGGATATTGAGTTCAGTCACCAATGATGTAATCAATCATGGCTATGTGATGAAGCCTCCATTAAAAAAAAAAAAGAGTGGAATTCAGAAAGCTTCCATGTGTCAGGCCCCAAACCCCATGGGGACAGATGCTCCTTTGTTTGAGACCTTGCCCTGTGTATCTCTTCATCTGGCTGTTAATTTGTATGCTTTGATATGCTTTGTTATAAACAGATAATCTAGTGAGTAAATGAGTTTCCAGAGTTCTGTGAGCCATTCTAGCAAATTAATAGAAACTAACAAGGGTGTGGTGGGAACCTCTGGTCTATAGCTGGTCAGAAGCACAAGTAGCAACCTGGACTAGTGATTGGCATCTGAAATGGAGAAAGGGGCAGGCTTCCAGGACTGAGCCCTTCACCTGTGTGATCTGATGCGATCTTTGGGTAGTCTGTGTCAGAATTAAGTTAAATTGCAGGACACCAAGCTGGTGTGTGTGTGTGTGTGTGGGGGCACATGTTAAAATTGGGATCAGAATGGGACCATTGCACCTCCCAGCAGCTCTCCCAACTTTCCTCCTCATCAACCACCCCTTTTTTCATGGCAGCCATGTACCCAGCCCAGAGTCTTAATCCCCAGTGGAGGAACTAGATTATAAATTTAATTTCATTTTAATCCACTTAAATCTTAGCTGCATATGGCTAGTGGCCACAGGCTTGGCCCTGGTGGCTCTAGTGTGACCGAGGGCCTCACCCCACACCACATTGAGCTGATTAGGGTTGTTCTGTGTCCAGTTCGCCTGTATTTCTGGCCACAGAACCTGGCACACGCAGGCCCCAGGAAATATGAAGCAATAAGTATCCTCATGCTCTCACATTTGTCTTTGCAGTCCCAGTTTCTCTCTGCTTTTGACCAATGTGTTTGTCAGAGAGTCGGTGGTGTTTTCTGAAAACCTGTAAAACCTCAGAGACCTCTGTATCCTCAGCCCAGATGATCCCAAATCCACTCCAAGGTGCTGAGGGCCACAGGATGGTAGGAGCGAAGCAGTAAGACTCAGGAGGGACCCTGGTTCCTGCTACTCAAGCAGCCCCGAGTCTACAGTGGTTTCCCCTTAACCGCAGGGGCTCGGTTCCAGGACCCGCAGTGGATGCAGGAAACCGCAGACAGCCCTGGACCCTGCATATACTATGCTTCTTCCTATGACAGAGTTTTGTTTACAAAGTAGGCATGGTAGGAGGTTAACAACAACTAATAATAAAGTAGAACACTTACAACAATATGCTGCAATAAGAGCTATGTGAATGTCTTCGGGGCCATTATTAAGTAAAACAAGGGAGCGACAGCGCATCTAGTAACGGAGTGGGCTGTGAAGGAACTATAACGGGCAGGCGGTGAACTCACAGCAAGGGGATGCTGGGCACAAGGGCAGTTCACACCCCAGGGGACATGGAGCGGCGGGATGGGGCAGGATGGCATGAGATTTCATCAAGCTACTGGGATGTACATGCAGTTTAGATCTCACCAATGGTTTATTTCTGCAGTTTCCCATTTGCCCGTTGGTAACTGAAACCTCAGGAAGGGAAGCTGTGGATAAGGGGTGGGGGAAGTACTGTGCTTCCCCTCTTTTTCCTGCAGTTCTGCAGTTTCAGAAGCCTCGCCCGAGTCAGGACGCCACTCGCGAGGGGTAGAGAACTGAGTCCCTCAGCCGATGGCTGACCGAGGATTGTGGGCACCCAGGCTCCTGCCACCGAGGGCTTCATCCCTTTGAGCCCCCGTCGTCTCACTTGGAAGCGGTCTCTTAACAATCCCTTCTGCAGGGGGACTGTCTGCACAAAGAAGAGGGACAGCGGATGATCACACAGCGAAACAGCGACAAGCTCCTACAGGAAGGAGAGTGAGCAAGAGCAGCAACAGGCATGACTGCGGAGGAATCTCACAGATGTCACATGAGAAAGAATCCTGGCGCAAACAGGACGTGCCCTGCGATCCCTTCTCCGTGAAGAGTAATAAGGGCGCCCCCCTGTGCCCGCTGGAGTTACAGCAGTGCTTACCCGTGAGCCTACGAGTGCGAGTACATGTGTAGGGGCCTGGGAGGAGGCAGGCGGGGGTGTCTTGCTTCTTGGTGGGGGCATTGCTTACGCAGATGTGTTAACCTTGTAAACGTTCGCTGATGGGACATTTATGGTATGCACAATGTTCTGTGTATTGTACTTCAGTAAAACTTTTACAGAGAGGGGGAGGGAGAGGGAGGGAGGGAGGGAAGAGAGAGTCGGGGGAGAGTTCTGGATTTGCTTGACACGTGGGTCTGAACTTCTCTTAGATGTTCAGTTTAAGCCAAACCAAATGAAATCCCCGATATTTGGTCACTCTTGGTCTGTAAATATGGCAATTTCATATGGTTCAAATTCTGGGGCATTTGTTTCAGTCACTGCTGGGGCCCTGGTCTCACGGAGTCAGAATATATGGGAGTGAGGCCCAGTAACCTGCATCTTTAGTAAGTGTACCCATGTGACTAGGATGCTCTTGTGCCCACAGATTCATTTGCAGAACACTTGGTTAGGCTGACAAGAGCAGAGGGTGGAGCTGGTTTCTGGCTGTGTGGTTTAGGCCCCTTCCTTTATCTCTCTGAGCCTCAAGTTCAGCATTTGGAAAGTGGATCTCATCACAGGGGTCAGGGGAGTGTCGGCCAGGGTGAGACCTGGGTTGAAACCCACAGCCCTGTGCTGGCAAGAGACAGACAGAAAACGGTGGCAGCTTTCATTCCCCTTCTCATCTCCTCATGGTTGGCCCACAGGACTGCAGCCTGTAGCACCCACCATAGGAGGGCCTCCAGGCTCGCTTCTGACTTCCCCTCCGTGAAGCCTGCAGGGGTGCCTCCTCCATGGCATGACATCTATGCCTTACTGTCTGCTCCCCAAACTTTTCCCAGCCTCCTGCTATGCTAAGCTCACCGAATTGACCTAGAGTGGGAGAGTCTTTTCACCCCACCCTGTGACATGAGGGAGCTAGGGTCCAGGGATCACCCATAGGGTGATGGACTCTCCTTGCCCACAGGTGGATGGGGAATCTATACCAGGGTGAGGAGGTGGCTTGCCCAAGGCCACCAGCCTTGGAACCCAGGAGCATCTGGCTCCAGAGCTTGAATTCCTCCCAGCCCCAACCAGGCTGACTCCCCAAACCAGAGCTAAGGTAGTCAGGGTGGGTGAAGGGTCCCCCTGTTGCCACCTGAGTCAGTCATGGGGACCCTGAGTTGCTGCTGGTCGAAGAACAGCTAACACCAAAAATTCCAGTGTCCCATCTCCTGATGGGAAGGGCTACCCTGTGAGGGACAATTTGAGACAGTTTTGTTTCACAGATTAAAAATAGAGACTCAGGAGAATAAAACAGTGGTAAACACACAATGCAGTGTGTAGATGATGTGTTATAGGGCTGTGCAGTTGAAACCTGTATGGTTTTATTAACCTCAACAAATTCAATTAAAAAAAAAAAAGAAGAAGAAAACCCTGGTCCCTTGCCAAGAACATGCAAGTAACCGGCTCCTCCCAGTCCCTCTGGTGCCCCATCCTCACATCTGCCTTCTGACTCAGACCTGTGTGGCTCCCTGGGAAGCTCTTCAGGCCCTGGTCTGTGGTGAAGGCCGACCCGAGACTCAAGGGGGACCACGGAACTTCAGCAGCAGAGTAGGGGAGGCACAGAGCCGGAGCATGCGTGCAAAAGAACATTGAGTCCTGCAAAATTTCCTGTCAGAGCTCAGAAGCGGGGTAGACTGCAGAGGCCAGAGGCCAGGCATCAGCACACAGGAGTGCAGGTCCCAGATGCCAGCCCCAGGGATCCAGGCCCCCAGCCCGTCCTCCCTCAGACCCAGAAGTCTGGGCCCCTAGCCCCTTCTCTCTTAGTAACCTTCTTATCTTCTCAGTTGTGTTGCCCTTGGGTCTGAAGGAGGAGGCACCTGGGACCTGCACTCCTGTGTGCTGAAGAGGTTGCCTGGCCTCTGGCCTCTGCAGTCTACCCCCTTCTGAGCTCTGACAGGAAATTTTGCAGGACTCAATGTTCTCTTGCACGCATGCTCCGGTTCTGTGCCTCCCCTACTCTGCTGCTGAAGTTCCGTGGTCCCTCTTGAGTCTCAGGTCGGCCTTCACCACAGACCAGGGCCTGAAGAGCCTCCTGGAGAGCCACACAGGTCTGAGTCAGGAAACTCCTCTTTCCAGGTCTCACCTTCTCTCTCTGGAAACTGAAATCACTCCCGTCTTGCTTCCCTGGGAGAAGATAGAGCTGGGAACAAGAATTCTCTCTCTCCCTCCCCCTGGCTCTTTTTGTCTCTGTTTTCCTCCAGGGAAAGGGTCCCAGCAATGGAGGAAGCCCGGTGGAGGCGTCTTCAGCTGGAAGGACTGGGTTATGGGCACCCAGGGCCCTCTTTTCCTCCCTGGCTCAGGTCCCACAGCCTCTCCAGGGGCAGAAGGGGGTGTACCATCATCACTGCCGCCCTCCCTCTCTCTCAGGAATTCAGCAGGATCTGGGAGGTCTAGGTGTTTCCCAGAACGTGGTATGTAGGAAGAACAGCCTGTGTAGTAACTACAGCCCGGCCGGAGCTCCACTGAGATTTGAGCCCTCTGAGTTCCTGGAAGTCCAGGGCAGTCTGCTTCCAGATTTGGGATCTTCGCTGATCTGGGGATGCCTGGCCCAGGGTCCCACCTCACTGGGAGCTTCTCGTGCCATCCCTCTCAGGACTGGCCGCTCTGAGGGGTGGACACCAGGATGCTGGGAACTGTGGGGGCCTCTCAGCTGCTGGGCTGTCCCTCCCACTTCTCTGCCTTCCTCCCCATCCTCCCCTCTGTCTCCCTCCTCTGCTTCCCCCTCCTTCCTTCCTCTTCTCTCCTTTTCTTCCTTTTTCTCTTTCCCCTCTACCATCCTGACTCAACCTCACTCACTCATTTGACACATATGCATTGAGCACCTACTATGTTCCAGGCACTGGTCCAGACCCTGAGGAAACTGTCAGGAACAAAACAGGTAGACACTGTGCCTGGGAAGAGCTAGTGTGCTAGCCAGGGAGATGCCCATGATACAAAAAAGATAAAATAAATGGGCAAGTTATACTTTATGTAGGAAGACAACAGCTACTATGACAAAAAAAAAAAGAGAAAGTAGAGGTGGGTAAAAGGGATCAGGAGCCCTGGATGGGGCAGGGGTCATGTTAAAGAGGGTGGTCAGGCGAGCCAACCCCCTTCTGCTCCCACTTCCTCCCTTTCTCTCTCCTCTGTCTCACAGTATCTAGATTGTCCCAAAGCACATCCCTTCTCTGAAGGACACCTTGCAGAGAAAGCATTTGCCTGGACTAAGCATTTAACAAAACACAGACCTCCTCAAGTTACTTCCCTGGGCTCCTTGCTCTCCCTAGTTTCCCCCGAGGCCAGTAATCATTAAGACAATAAAATACACCCCTGATAGGATGCAGATGTAGTCAGAACAGCTCCAGTGGATGAACCCCTCAAGTCGGCCTGCCCCCTCTGCTGTCCACCTTCTGTCTCCTTGCTCCTCAGGGTTCACCTGGCTCTGCACGTCCCATCCCTAGTGCTTCTCCTGTCCCTTAACTTCCAAGCTCAGACTCAGAGCTCGTTCTAGCCCAGAGAAGACCCTGATATGACCCACCACAAAGTCCTCAGCCTGTCCTTTCACGGTATCCCTCACAGATGCCAGAGCTGCCCCTTCCCCTCCCCTGCTCACAGCCCTCCCATGGCTCCCCAGTGCCCCCATACAAAGTCCTATCCTCTCTTATGCACCCTACCCCAACACACCTCCATGTTTCACCATTTATGCTCCACATCAATCCATCCATACTTTCTTGACTGGCCAGGGCATTCCTTGCCTTGAATGTCTTTTCTGCTCCATTGTTCAGCCCCCACCTCCATCCCTGCCATTACCCTGGCTAATTCCTTCAGCACATCACCTCCTCCAAGAAGCCCTCCCTGACTCTCCAGCTGGGTTGGTGCATCCTCAAACTGGTCTGTGGCCCTCTGTTTACACAGCTGTCTCCTCTACCAGACTGGCATCTCCTCAAGGGCCAGGCCAGGTCTGAGTCATCTCTGATCCCGGCATCGCCCAGCTGGGAGCCTGGCCCGTCACCAGTGCAAGAGATGTCCCTACAGTAAACACATGTCCTGTCCTCTGCCTTTCTCCATGTCTGCCTTATTATCTCCCCACTCTTCTCTCCTCTGTCCTGCTGGTCTGGAAACCACACCCTGAGTTTTTCTGATGATAATGGAAATCTTGGGAGGACCACTGTGGACCCAAGGCAGGGACCGGAGATCAGCCCCATTGGAGCGGAAGGTTCTGGGAGACATGGCTGTTAGTGAGGGGAGCAGGAGGTAGTCCCACCACTACCAGTTCCTGCCTGCTGTGGGAGGGCCCACTTTCCCCTGTCCTTGTCTTTCAGCTCTGTCTTCTTTCCTTCCAGCCTTGGTCATTTCTCTCTGCAAGGGATTCTGGGAGCCTAGGCTTCTGGGTCTGAGGGAGGAGGGGCTGGGGGCCTGGACTCCAGGATCCTAGAGGAAATTATTGGGGTGTAAAGTCCTGGTCCCTCCTCCCTCATCCACACTCTGGTTTTAGAAACATCTGGTTTTATACAGCGGCTCCACCCAGCAGGGCAGGGTGGGGGCTGGATACTCAAAAGCCCAGCTTCTGAGTGGAGCTTGTACTTCCCCCTAGCCCCACCCTGGGGTAAAGGAATCACTGGCCCCTCCTGCTCTGGGCTCAGCTCCCACCAGAGGACCCATCATCCTGACACAGCCAGACACCAGGCGGTGGCCCAGGCTACCAGCAACCCCGTCAGCACAGGCTGACTTTGCTCTGGTGGGTGGGCCCTGAACTGGCCTCCTTCCCCTTGACAGCCAGGCAAAGGCCCAACCTGGCGCTGGCCCCGCACACCCTGCCACTCCAGGAAAACCCAGGGAGTGAGGGCTTGGCACCTTGCAGGGGAGAGCTCCAGGACAGGCGGGGCAAGGTGGAGCAGTGGGGACAGAGGAGGACTTAGAGACAGCAAAACAGAGAGAAACAGTGAATGGGGTGGAGGGGGGGTCTGCGGAAGATACAGTGAAACATAAACAGAGGTGGAGCTTCAGAAGGAGAAACACAGAGGTACAGAGAGAATGAAGGAGACTAGAGAT